TTCATTCGTGTATGGATCTTCTTGTCCCTAGTGGGTTTGTTATGAGGGTCGTCGTCGACCCTCAAGTCGACCAACAAGTCGTCCTGACTTGTTGACTGCCCGTTTTTCTCGTCGGAGGCTTGGCATTCATTTTGTCTGTCCTGCGCGCTTGAGTGTACAAGGCTCATATGGTGGTCTAGGTTTTCCTGGGGGTCGAGTATGAGCACCTCGATGCCTGCTTGTTCGCCCCTGCCCTTCCTCGGGATGTTGGTGTGGTGCAGCTGCATGTGCAGGTTCCATCCCTTTTGGCTGCCTTGTTCGTGGAGGACTTGCGTGCCGTGGTCTGTTGGCTTTGGTCTTGCATTTTTTTACCTTCTTGAGCTGTCCTTGGACTGGCTTAAGGAGGATGTGAAGATGCTTGAGGTCGCTCCTGGGTCTGATACATTGGCCTCGATAGTTCGTGCGTCAGCTGTGCTTTTAAAGCTGTTTGTGCCGATCCTGCAGGATGCGGTGTCACTGTTTTTTGCTTCCCGGCTCGTGTCAGCAGGCAGTGCTTGCTTCCTCTGTGGAATCTGCTTGGGCTCTGGCTCTTAAGATTTCTTCCCCTTTTTGCCCTTTGCTGTTTACAGAGTCTGCGTTTGTGCAGTATTTGCAGGCAGCCTCTTCTAGTTGCCGCCCCTATGTCGGAATTGTTGGTTCGTGCCTGTGGGGGAGGGGGTCTTCCCAGAAGGATCGCGCCAGGGCTTGGGGTTCCTCCCGTCGCGGTAGGCCAGTGGTGCCAGTTTCGGAGCTGGCGCAACCTTCAGAACAATCATTGTCTGGTTGGCACGGTGCTTGCTCTGTGTGAAGGTTGGGTTCACGTAAGGGGCGTCGGCTCTTTCACGGTTCGTCTCATTGACAGGGCGATGGAGAGGGGGAGGTTAGCTCTGTTTGCTATTGCCCGGTTCCACGATTTGTGGGCGTTTTGGGTCATTTAGTGCAGCCTGCTGTGGCGTTGGGTGGCCACTTCTCCTCCGGGGGGTTCGGCCAGTCCTCCTTTGGGGAGGGTTCGGGGGGGGGGGGGGTTAGGCCTCTTCACCTCCTCTCTGTCGCGTCATCTAGGAGTGGGTTCACTTGGGTGTGGTCGAAATGACTCCGTCCCTCTGGTGGGGTTCCTGCCTGTTTCTAGTTCCGAAATGGGACTGCGTGGACCTCTGGTTCATTCTGGACTTGTCCCGTTTGAACCCGTGGGTTTATTGCCCTTCCTTTCGGATGACTACTCTGTCCCAGGTCTGTCTTCTTTTGGAGCTGGGTGTTTGGATGATGTCCCTGGACTTCAAGGACATGTATTGGCATGTCCTGATTCACCCAGGGTTTAGAGACTGGCTCAGTTTTGGTGTGGGGGGAGTCAGTGTTACTGCTTTCGTTGCCTTCCATTCGGCTTGAATCTAGCACTTCGCGTTTTTATATGTTCCTTACCCAGGTCGTGGTGGCTCGTCTGTGTCTGTTAGGGGTTCGGGTTCTGGCCTATCTCGACGACTGGCTGGTGTGGGCTCCCAGCCAGTCTGCGTATCTGCTCGCCGGGCATTTGGCTTTTTCTCAACTCGCTGGGTTCGGGTTCCTGGTGAACTGGAGGAAATCCCATCTGCTTCCCTTTCAGGTTTGGTCTTGGCTGGGTCTTGTGTGGGACTCTGACCGCTTTGGATGGTGCGAGTTGCTTGCGTATCGACGATCTAGCTCCATTCAGACTGCTCCCTGGTGGTTCATTGCTTGAACTGCGGGGGTTCGATACAGTCCTTGGCTGTTTTGGAGCTAGTCGATTCGAGTGACTCATCTGCTGAGTTCTCGTGGTTTGGCTTTCCTGGCCGTTCACGTTCAGGGAGTGTTCAATGTCCTGGCGGATGGCCTGTCTCAGTTCCTTCCCATATCCACGGAATGGACGGTTGACGTCAACTCATTCAGTTGGCTCTGCCAGACGTATGGGCTCCCTGAGGTGGACCTCTTCACGTCGGCGTGGTCGGCATCTCCCGGTATATGTGGCTCCGCTTCTTTCAGCAGATTGGGCCAGTCCGTTACATGGCTGGTTCGATCTTCTCTATAAGTCTTCGCATCTGATCTTTCTGATGTGGGTCTATCACCACTTGTATGGTGCGCAGGTGGCTTCGTTGGTGTCCCCCCACCTGCATGCTTCGTCTCGGCGGCAGTATGACGTTTCCTGGCAGTCCTTCCGTTATTTCTTGTCCCTTCATAGATTTACTTCTGTCTGATAGGGTTGTTTTCTTTTTTTGTGGTTGTACCAGGACCGTTATCTTATGCCGAATACTGTCGCCTCATATCGTGTGGCGCTGGCAGAGCCACTGCAGCTTGCGTTCAGTGTTGATGTTACTTCTGCGCCATTCAGCAAGCTGTCTCGTGCGTTGTTTCACCTCCAGCCTGCTCATGCACCACCCAAGCCGTCCTCATCATTGAACTGGGTGCTCTCTTTTCTCTCTCTCCCGCGGTTTGTGGTGGCCCCTTCGGTTCAGGATTGTTTGGCAAAAGCTCTTTTCTTGTTGGCATTGGCCTCTGAAGGACGTGTTGGGGAGCTTCTTGCTCTCATCCATCGCAGGGGTTTCTGCTCTTTTGGTCCTGGTGGTAGATTTGTTCGTTTGCAGCTGTCTCCTCCTTATCTAGCGAAGAATAAGTCTGCTACTTTCTAGAGGGGGTCCTTGGATTGTTGATGCTTGGTTGGTCAGGCTGGGGGTGCATCATGTGTTGTCTGGTTGCGGCTCTCTGCCGTTGTGCCTTACCCGGGTCGTGGGGGCCCGTCTGCGTCTGACATTCGGGCACGAGGTTTTTGGAGGTTAAACAGGGTCCTGGCTGCTCGCTACCTTGTCAACGTTCCTGGGCCTAGTGTCACATTGCGTCGGCAGTTGCAGCCAGACCATCTCCCAGGTAAGTCCCTCTTGTGTTTGTCTTTGGGTAAGTAGCTCCAGGTCTTCCCCCCAGAAAACCAGCATTGAATGTAATGAAACACACTTTTCTGGATGAGACCTGGAGGCTTCCCGGCAACCCTCCCTCTCTCCAGTCGGCGGTTTTTCTTTTTGTGGTTTTTGACATCCAGCCTCAGAAGTGCGGGGTGGATAGCGGCGTGAGAGTATTGGGCTCCCCCTTTCCCTTCCAAGGAGCAGGGTTGCATTGACGACAGCACAGTAACGTAGTGACGTCGTGCTCGTTTGTTCATTTTCATTTGGGGAGTTTTGTCCATTAGTTTGGCTTTGAGTAGCAATATTTTTACCAGAATAGGGGATTGTTTTGGGGCGCCTACCTTTCTGGGTGCCTTACCTGGTCAATGGCAGACATAGAATGCTTCCAACCATACAGGGGTTTCTATAGGCCATTGCTCCTCATGCCTCTCTGAGGGGAACAGGTTCTGGCACGTGGTCCCCAGTAGGCCTAGAACTCTATGAATGTGACTGATGCCAGGGTCGAAGCAGTCTCCGTGGTGTAGTGGTAAGACACTCGCCTGGCGTTCCGCGAGCGCTATGTCATAGGTTCGTATCCTGGCTGGGGAGGATTTACTGGGTGCAATTCCTTAACTGTAGCCTCTGTTTAACGCAACAGTAAAATGTGTACTTGGATGAAAAAACGATTCTTCGTGGCGGGGATCGTATTCCAGGGACCTGCCCGAAACGCTACGCGTACTAGTGGCTGTACAAGAATGTAACAACTCTTGTATATATCTCAAAAAACAAAAAAAAAATAAAAAAAAATAATACATTCATATCAGCCCGTATGGCTTCGGGGAGCTTCCGGGTCTCGCCCAGAAAATGGGGTTTCATTTCATTCAACACTTTTTATTTTTTATTTTTAAATGTATACAAAAATTGCGGTGTGTCTAACGCGGCTGTATTATGGATGGGAGACCGAGCACCGTAGACTAGGAAGCAGGACGAGCATATTGGTTAAGTTAATCTTTGATCATTGCTAATATCACTGTTAGCAATGTTAATCTGTTAATCACAAAAATCATTGCTAATAATAAATCTTGAAAACAAGCCGAATTATCACATTCTGTTATCACAAATTTACGAAAAATTTGGTTACAATATATCGGCAGTTATGATGGAAGGTCGCATCATCTCGCTTATCTTCTTACCCAGCATACATAACCTACACCTGATATGTCATACAATATTTAATAACTGTATTACCTTTAACAAACATTTGTTCATTATCTAAATAAAAAATGCTTCTAGAAATTTGAAAGGAATGTTAAACTTTCTTCCGTCTGACAGCCATTTGCAATGAATGGATGACAACAAAACCAGAGTGCTGTTTTGGTGTGTCACGGCCTGGTGAGCCGCTCTGGTAGCCTGTCACGGTAACACAAATCATCACATCCAGAAATTCAAGTTTCACATCCTGTATAGCAATTCTCTGGCCCAAAATAAACAAGTATACAGCCGATCTGATAGGTAAGAGTTGGCGGGTACGGTTTCCCATAACGTACCGGTACGTTTATTTACAGTGAATTCATGCAGAGTCGAAACCCATGGTTGAAAACAAAAAAGGCACTGTCATAACATCAAATTTAAACTAGATGCTGTAGCATACACAAAAGACCATGGTAATAGGGCAGCTGCTCAGTATTTTGAGCCACACTAACCAAGAAAATGGTAAGGACTTGGAGGACATTTTTCCCTACAAAATATCTTTCAATACATATATGATGAAACATGCTAAAAAAAAAAAATCCACAAAATGTCCTTGAGAAAAAGGGGGTGCATCTTGTACGAGGGTGCATCTTGTACGAGGGTGCATCTTGTGCGAGGGTGAGTCTTGTGCGAGGGTGCGTCTTGTGCGAGGGTGCGTCTTGTGCGCTGGCAAATACGGTCTTTATTATACTATTTAATTAATAAATATTAATAATAAGAATTATATATTAATATATATTGTATATTATTAATATATAATATATATAAAGCGGTATATAAATATCATGTATTTATAAATTATTAGACAAAATTTTTTTCCTTTGTTAATGCTGGTGTCTGTTTCAGGTGCTTCTGTGGGACATGGACACATACAGTTTACAACGGAGATTTTCTGGCCATTACAATAATGTGCTCTCCTGTGCCTTTTCCCCTGATGGTGCTATGCTGGCAACGGCTTCCTGCGACACTAGAGTTATCGTGTGGGACACAAGCAGTG